GGGGTAAAGGTGATACCACACAAGCGTAAAAAATAATAATAAAACAAACTCAAGAGGTTCAAATATGTTGAGAAATAACAATTATTTTTATATGTCTATTGAATACAGGAGTGTGTTTCTCTCCCGGCCCGTTTCTATGGATTCGTGACACTTTTTGCGTTTCTTAAGCGAGTTATGGTATCTTAAGTCGTTCGTCAATAAAAACTTGCTTTTGGTAAGAAGACTAAGTCAAGAGGACGTGGAAATCTTTCGGTCAGCTTCTGCGAGGCTGGTCTCCAACTGCAACTCAACTCTCCAACTTCTCGAACTAACTCTAAACTCCAAACTAACTGGAACTGACTGCTCAGCTTCCTCGAGACGTTCGTTTATATGGACACCGACCAAAACCCGGTGTGGGGGCCTGACGTAGTTTGGGTTCCTTGATGATTCTCAATTCCCAACAAGAATTCTCTTTGTTCTTAGGCCAGGAAAATTAATTACTTCCCATTTTTGGAAGATTAATCACTTTCCACTTCGGGGGTTCCTCCCTCGTCCGTGAGGGAAGGTCCTCCTAGACTCTTCTTCTCTCACATTGATATTTCATACCAATCCGCTCAGTGGGTTTTAACAACTTCTCCGTCTTTCTCATGCATTCACCTCCGTCTATTACCCGCGCTACCGATCTGTCGGCAGCGTGGGTATGGTTAGACTGGCCCTCTTAAAATTATTCCAGAATTTTGTTTACAAAATCCATTTTTCTTTTTCTTTTACCTTCGGCCAAAACATTTACAAATCCCAGATTGCCAATTAATTCTTATTACATCTTTCTTTTGGGGACACCCAAAATTCACTTAGCCCGGACCTCTACTGACTCATTAATCACTGTCAAAACCCGACACTTGGTTTCTCTGCTAGTCAACTTTTAACTGGGTGGTCGTGTTCACCTGAGAATCTAATTCTTTATTTTTCTCATGCCTTAAAATTCTCTTATCACCAGATGCTCATTTTCGAGGCGCTATGACTGACGTCAACAGTTTGAATAAGCAATAATAATGATTCCCTTTTCGATTCACCAGATGCTCATTTTCGAGGTGCTATGTCTGACGTCAACAGTTTGAATAAGCAATAATAATGATTCCCTTTTCGATTCACCAGATGCTCATTTTCGAGGCGCTATGTCTGACGTCAACAGTTTGAATAAACAATAATACTGATTGCCTTTTCGATTTTCTTTCTCATGTCAAGATTCGTGCATATACCAGATGGCTTCCTTCGCTGGAACCAGGAATTAAAGTTAAATGATATCTCTGAAAGATAATTAATATCTATTCTCCGTGGTGGCCTCAAGCCGAAAATTTTATGGCCGCATGCGTTGGTTGGCTTTGTTTTTCTTTCTGAATTCTGTTTTCCTTGGCGCGTCACTCCCTTATCGTGACATTAATCAGTTTTGACAGAATCACAATCTCGCTTTTTCTTACGGATTTTCTGTCATTTGCGGAAAGTGTCTTTTTTGTAAATAAAATAAAATCTTCTTTTTAATGTCGCTCAGTCTATCTTTCGATATAGCTCTTTCTCGCCTTAAGTATTTCCTGTTTTTAATTTCTATGGTTAATTAGTTAGCCAACTACCATAGCTAAATAGTGTCACATTTATTTAATAATGTTGTGATAATGTATAATGTTGTGAAAATGTATTATGTATGTTTATTATTTTACCCGCATATGGTATATAATATGGAAGTGTTTGTTTATAGACGCGAATTGATATAAGAATCTGTGTATTGAATTTCCTGTTAAAAAAGGCCGTAGAAACAGAGAAACGGCTCTAGTTGAATAACCCCTTGTGTAATTTTTAATGAAATTTGGCTTTGAACTCGGCATAGGTTCAAAATACAATATACTCTAAATTAGTTGCGGTATTATGCATCGTTTAAACTGTATCTCAGGAACACACACAGATGCATATTGATTGTGACGTCTTGTCAAACGATTGTCACTCATCCATTGAGTGATCGTCCATCAATCCGTTGATAACTTTTCATTCCTGCCAACGACTTGCAGATCTTGTAGCAGATTTGGCACTCATGGGCATTGGCCCTGGTTAACAGACACGGGGTGTTGGCTTCACTGTGAACTTTCATGTGTCGCTTGAGACCCCCAGACGATCGGCATACTCTAGAGCAGTGGGAACGTGAAAAGTTTCCATCCTGGGATTCAACGTGCAGCATGGGAGTGATAAACAGTGCAGTTGGATTGCTTTCATGTGATTAACCAGGCCTGCCTTTGATAGCAGAATCTGGTCACACACCTCACAGATTCATATATCTCCTAAATTAGCCGGCAGAGGTTTCCGTTTTCTGCATGCTCTCTTGAGTTTTCCCTGTCTGCTCTGGCTGCTTCAAAAAGTTCAGCACCCTCGAAAATCACAGCCCTCCACTGGTCACCATCAGATGTTAGGGACTACCAATCATCAACAGGAACACCAAAAAAACGCCAAACTTTTCTTGACACTCTTGCCAGAAAGAATCTCAGCATCAAACCGAAAAAGATGACCAGCGCAACGTATCTGGAATCATCAAACCGAACAAGATGACCAGCGCAACGTATCTGGAATCATCAAACCGAACAAGATGACCAGCGCAACGTATCTGGAATCATCAAACCGAACAAGATGACCAGCGCAACGTATCTGGAATCATCAAACCGAACAAGATGACTTTGGAATCTTGACCAGCGCAACGTATCTGGAATCATCAAACCGAACAAAAACGTATCTGGAATCATCAAACCGAACAAGATTTTGGAATCATCAAACCGAACAAGATGACCAGCGCAACGTATCTGAAATCATCAAACCGAACAAGATGACCAGCGCAACGTATCTGGAATCATCAAAAACAAGATGACCAGCGCAACGTATCTTTGAAAACGTATCTGGAATCATCAAACCGAACAAGATGACCAGCGCAACGTATCAATCATCAAACCGAACAAGATGACCAGCGCAACGTATTTGGAATCATCAAACCGAACAAGATGATATCTGGTCATCAAACCGAACAAGATACCATATCAATCATCAAACCGAACAAGATGACCAGCGCAACGTATCAATCATCAAACCGAACTGACCAGCGCAACGTGTTTCATCAAACCGAACAAGATGACCAGCGCAACGTTTTGGAATCAGAACACCAGCGCAACGTGTATCAAACCGAACAAGATGACCAGCGCAACGTATCTGGTTCATAATCAAAACTGCAGCAATGCTCACTGTTTTGGCTTTGGAAAAGACACCTGTATCTGGAACATAGATACATACATACATACATACATACATACAATATGACAGTTTTAGTGTTATATAGATATTTTATTTAAAGAGAATTTAAATTTAGACAAGATTATGGTAGCATGGGAACATGTTCTTTTACGAAATTATGGCAAGACAAATATCGCAAAAGCAAATTCTTTCAAAGTTGATGAACCCAGACTAAAGAAAAAGACGCTGTCATTGTCCTTTACATTTTTGTAATTGAGAAACAAAATACTAAAATCTGATAAAATAACACAGCTAAAAGGCAAACTTGCAATCTTTTCACACATTATGGCGCTGTCACTCTTTAAATATTTTTCTGGCAATTGTTCTAACGAGTTTTCTTCTTGCATGAACTTAAACGTACCACTAGATTGGCAATTATGACTCACTGTTTTACTGCTAGATAAATGCTAGATGTAACCCTAAGTTCTATTCTAATAGATTTTTCTCTCGTAATTCACGGCAGTGGAACTCTCTTCCGGTTTTTGCTTTCCTGTTACCTACAATCTTCAAAAATACAAATGCAACACCAATCGCCATCTTCTGTCTTCCTGAAACCTATTCTTTTATTGTCCTTTCTCTTCACTAAAGTCTTCTCACATTCTTTCACTCCCAGTAACCCCTTGTGTCTTAGTGGCATTATCGCCATCTTCTGTCTTCCTGAAACCTGTTCTTTAATTGTCCTTTCTCCTCACTAAAGTCTTCTCATTCTCTTTCACTCCCAGTAAAACCCTTATGTATCAGTGGCATTATCACCATATTCTGTCTTCCTGAAACCTGTTCTTTTATTGTCCTTTCTCCTCACTAAAGTCTTCTCATTCTCTTTCACTCCCAGTAACCCCTTGCGTCTTAGTGGCATTATCGCCATATTCTGTCTTCCTGAAACCTGTTCTTTTATTGTCTTTTCTCCTCACTAAAGTCTTCTCATTCTCTTTCACTCCCAGCATCCCCCTTGCATCTTAGTGGCATTATGACCTTGTTTGTAGTGAAATGATAAAAAAACCTACAAAATTATCTTTCAGTTTTTCAATCTCAATAAAATACCTGGTGGCAAGACAAATATTTTTAATTATATTGTAAATGTTGCAAGACGAATTATGAAATCATAATGGCACCAGAGGAAGGCATATTTTAATAAGTTATTGTCATGGTAACGTGAAAATGAAGTAAGAACAGAAGGTGGTGATTATGCCCGAAACTACAACTTCCTTGCTTTCACTAATGCAAATCTGTCACTCTTGTCTTCAAAGTCGACATTTTCCGTTTTCACTCTCTCTCCAACATCCAACTCCCAAAATACATATTCTTGATCTTGACGCATAGATACTCTCAAATAACGTAGAATTAGTTTCAGCTGATGGAAAGATCTCTTTCAATGCTTCTCGCAACTTTTCAAATGCACAGTATCTGACGATGGAAAAATGCGTAAGGCAATCGCAAAAAAACTCCCCAAAAAACAGTTACTATAAACAAAATAACATTGTCTGCCGAATTATTTTAAAATTATTATTAAGATAAATGTTCGCAAGACGGGGATGGATTTGGCTAGAAAGAAAGAAAGAAAGAAAGAAAGAAAGAAAGAAAGAAAGAAAGAGAGAGAGAGAAAGAAAGAAAGAAAAAAGAAAGAAAGAAAGCGAGAAATAAAGAAAGATGTGTTTAGTTTAAGCCTTAAGGTCTCCTGTCAATACATAATAAATAATGGACTATTTGAAGAGAGAGAGAGAGAGAGAGAGAGAGAGAGAGAGAGAGAGAGAGAGAGAGAGAGAGAGAGAGATGTTTAACGTCTCCTGTCAATAAATAATGGACTATTCCATTTTGATTGCGTCTGAGAATAAGACCTCAGAATGAAAGAAGGAAACAAGGGAAGATGGAACTGTTTAAAATGTCTGTTTCAGTGAAAATGAAAAAAAGTTGTCAATTTCAAATCTTTTTATTTATACCCCCTTACTTCTTAAAATAACGACCAGAATCCATATTTATCATTCTTATATAGTATTCGTAATATTTTGTTAAAGTTGTTATGTTCAAATATTTAACGACGCGATCAGGGATTTTCTACGGATATTTTACTGTCGTAAAACTCACCATGAGCTTATTCAATCATTAACTGAAGAATTAAGATTCATCAGAAATTTAAAAGAGGAAATCCATGAAATTTTCCTAGTTCTTTTTATTTTATTTTATTTATATTTTATTTATTTTTATTTTTTTAATCGTCTCAGTCATTCTCGGTTAATAATACATGCCGGGCCGGTGCGAGGCTCTCGTACCACCCCTAAAGTCGGGGTGTTCGGGGATAGTATACGCCGGCCCTGGATACACGGTTAGAATTTATGAAAAAAAAAAAATGTGGCTTTAGAAAGTTTTGGTCCAAATCGTCACTGACCTTGCCGACTCCAGACGGGTAATAAAATCCATTCGTCGTATCCGGATACAATTAAGACGAGACCGTCAATTTTCTAAGAGACTCTAACACATCGCTGATAACTGCTAGGATCCAATCCAGATAAAAAAAAAAAAATTAAAAAATGTCGACGTGTTATAAAAGGGCTTTGAAATAATGTCAGTTGAAATGAACGGAAATCGGGGCCCGGATTAAGGTTAGAAGACCGTATAATTTACTGAAGCGAAAAAATAGGTTTTAGCCAAGATTTTACAGGTCAGTGTGGCTCCAGATGAAATCTTTTTTTTTTTTTATCTTTCCTTTAAACGAAGCGCTTTGTCGCTAAGAAATGATAAACAATTAAAACACCTGCAGTTTTTTTTTTGAAGTTCTGGTCTGATGTCTTTTTTTTTATTATTCTTTAAATTTGACTTAATGTTGTCATAATCTTTGTTGTTTTAAAGCACAAGGTTTCAGCTGGTATATTCTTCGGCCTTCTATGTTTGATGTCCTGTTTATCTGTTTATCAAATTGCCACGTTTAGCAACTTCATTTTGCAAATCAATTCGTTAGTGTAACGATTTTTATCGCTAGTAAGCGGCCCCATTATACTGATCTTGTACCTGACTAAATTGTGATAAGTAGAAAATAATATCTTTATTACATATTGATTTATTCCAACCATTGGTTTTTTTTATACCTGGTTTCATAAACAATGTGTTTAGAATTTTAAAACAAGAGCCTAAAATGAAGAAAGTTCGAAGAACGCATTGGCCGAAATATTATTTTAAAAATGATAAAATTAAAGACGGTAAAATATTCAGTTCTGTTTCCCGCATTAGGTTGCCATTTCTTTCTGTAGTACACAAATTGCCATCAAAGGCTGTCCTGCTATTTACCTACGGGAGGAGAAAGAAGAGAATTCATACCTTTCTCAGGGGTATTAGCAGGTAAGTAAATGTAATGGACCCGGCTGGAATTCGAACTCTATTCTCTGATTCCACAATCCGAGCCGCTATCCATTACATCAGCGAACCTCGAATATTACGGCTTTAAAATCCTTTAAAAACGAACATTTTAAAATAATTTATATTTGGTAATAAATAAAAACGTAGGTACCTCCACAGATTAGCTAAAAATGAACATACCATGATGAAAAAAATGCCCCAAACTTAATAAAAACAGTTTTATTGTCAAAATCTGTGTTAAGAGGAAAGACCAAAGGATTTTTTATTATTAAATTATATTTTTATCTTTTTTAGAACGTTCTAAATTTTGGTTAAAAGCTTGTTTTTCTTGCATCAGCAAGGAGAGGAGACCAAAGAATATGAAATTTTAGCGTCTTTTTTTGCGATGAAATCACATTGATTTGGAAATTCTAGCAAAAATCAAATCATTTTCGAATTTTAATGAAACATTCAGGACTTATTCACAAATGAATTAAATTATTTTAATGTTGGTAGAAACATTTTTTTTTTCATCTGTTGTCCCTCACGTGTTTAATTGCATGAAATTTCAAGAAATTTATTTTTGTACGACTTTAATGTTTATACTCAGAACTCCGTCGAGAATTTAGACCTTCCTTTTTTTTTGCAAGACAGGACCCCACCCCATTACGGAAAATCTGTTCTGAATCGTAAAATAAATAAATAAATAGATAAAATTAAGACATTATTTAATTAGAAACGCTTTCAATTGTTTTTATGAAAACGACAGATTACGGGAACTATTGTCTTAAGAAAACATTTTTTTCGATGAATAATGAATGTTTTTACAAGAATTGTTTTCATTCTTTATAAATTTCAAGTAGAATAACTTGTAAAGTTTTAGATCTTTTAAATTTCTGTATTACTTTGTCCAGGTTGGGTGTTATTGTTATTAAATAAAAATTATATTTACCAAATCTAAATGGAAAAGCTTACTACAATTTAGCGACCTCAGTATTTTAAAAAGAATTTTGAATTTTTTGTATGTGTATAAACGTGGCAATTTTTGTAAAGACGGATGTCCATTCACAAAAATAAGAGCGATAACTATAGTAAATTTAAATCCAAAGTATCTAAATTTGAATAAGCCCATAGAACAGTGAGATTATTTTCCTAATTTTTTAAAGATTACTGGGTAGTTAGAAATTATACAAAAAAGACGCTCATGTATATTCCTCAATTAATTGTTACAGCCTGTTAACTCCTTAAAAAATAGCTATCACCGTGTTAAAAATGCTTTTCTCCCATATTTTAAACTTAAATTAAGTAATATTTTTCAAATTAGATGAATTCTACTTTAAATCAGCTAATATTCCTCAAATAAAGTTTCAGAAAAGTATATGTTATTTTTAAAATATTTTTTATAAAGAGAATTACATCGTGATGACAGATGGCTAAAATAGTATTAAAAGCAACGATTTCAAAACAATTTTAGTCAATTAGATTTGAAATACAGCAAAGTATTTTGCTTATTGCAAATATTAAATTAATTTATTAGCTTGAAATTAAAACTAAAATAAAAGCTTCAAGTATGATTTTTCATTTACAAAAATTCCTTGAAAACATTGGGTATGTCGTTTTTGTGGATGTCCCTATAAAAATGTATCAAAACAAAGTGTGGGGAAGAGCACGGAGATGAAGAAAGAATCATGACTCGCGGTAAAATGTTGAATCGAAAAACAGAACAAAGAACCTTTTACTGATTATCGCTCCTCACACTTTAGAGAACAATAGACGATAACACATATAGAGACGTGCACAACGATTAAAATAATTGTTTGTCAAAAGAATAGAAAAATCTATGGGCCATCTAGAGTACAAATTTAAAGTACAATTTTTCTCTGTGTAACAATTGAGGTAAAGTATGGAAAATAATGATGACCCAGCCACCCAGATTCAAGTTATATTTGTTTTTGGAAAGAAAAAAAAAGGAAATATTAAATAAAAATTATGAGAGACAAACATTAGTTACGGGCAACATTAATCTTGTTGAATATTTGTCGTTCGAATTTAACTGCATTTTATTTCTTTTTTAGGGCCAATTAGGAAGAAATAAATATAATTTATGTACGTATGTGAGAAACAGTAAAATTTTGTTATATGTTTCTTTTTCCTTTTCAAAAACAAATATAACTTGAATTTGGGCGGGTGGGTTATTGTTTACGTAAAAGAGTCAGTACGTGTGTGCGTGTTTTTAGCAGTAACGGGGTCGGAGTGGGGGGAACATAGAATTTAGTTCTCACTTTGAACTATGTCGCCGTTGTTCGGGGCGGTCTTTTTGTAGTTTTCAGAGCGGTAGATTTTTGCATGTGGACGTGAATGGGGGTCTTGACTTCTGTGCGTCTCATGTCAAAATTTTACACACTGTCCCTCAATTGTTACACACAAAAAATTATATCTATCTATCTATCTATCTATATAAAAATTATATATATATATATATATATATATATATATATATATATATATATATATTATATATATATATATATATATATATATATATATATATATATAAATTATATTTATATATAAAATTATATATATATATATATATATATATATATATATATATATAAATTAATTGATTTAAAATATGTTTTTTTTTTTTTTACACAGTTCTAACCATGTTTCAAAATTGGTTAAAAGCCCCGAATTTAATTTTGTAATTAAATTAAAGACATTAGTTCCATTTTATCCTCAAGCGAATTTTGGAGAACATATATCTTTAATGATTATATATCTTACTATTCTTTATATATATATATATATATATATATATATATATATATATATATATTCATATATGAATTATTCACACAAAAACTAATGCAAAGGTTAATGATTTAAATAGCAGACATCCATCATCGCAAACAATTCAAATAATATACAAAATCCTCCGTATCCGTTATGAATGAAATGATCCTTGTTTATATAAATTTCTGCCGTATTAGTTCTTATTTTTACTACAAGCTTTCGTCTGTTCCTACAGACATCTTCAGGTATAGAATAGATGTTGTTCTTGTTTTTTCTCTTAGTAGTAAGAGGACAACGAAAATATATGTATTGTTGTATCCGAAAATGCTATTGAAAATGAGTTACTGTTTTTGGAGATGTCTGTAGGAACAGACGAAAGCTTGTAGTAAAAATAAGAACTAATACGGCAGAAATTTATATAAACAAAGATCATTTCATTCATAACGGATACGGAGGTTTTTTGTATATTATTTGAATTGTTTGCACGATGGATGTCTCGTTTAAATAATTAACCTTTGCATAGTTTTTGTGTGAATAATTCATGTATTTGTAAATTGATTGCACGTTTATCGTAATTTAAATAACTGATCCAAGTGCGACTTTTGGATAATAAGTGCGACATTACTGTAATTATTGAACAATATAGTTCATGCCACTTTAACAGAAAAATTTACTCAGTAAAAATTCGTTCATCACCATATATGAACGCACAACCTTTTAAAAATTTAAAATCAAACTCAGCGTTGCTTTTGCGCGCTCCAAAACTGTAACTCATTTTCAATAGCATTTTCGGATACAACAATACATATATTTTCGTTGTCCTCTTATTACTAAGAGAAAAACAAGAACAACATCTATTCTATACCTGAAGATGTCTGTATGAACAGACGAAAGCTTGTAGTAAAAATAAGAACTAATACGGCAGAAGTTTATATAAACAAGGATCATTTCATTCATAACGGATACGGAGGTTTTTGTATATTATTTGAATTGTTTGCGATGATGGATGTCTCGCCATTTAAATCATTAACCTTTGCATTAGTTTTTGTGTGAATAATTCATGTATTTGTAAATTGATTGCACGTTTATCGTAATATATATATATATATATATATATATATATATGTGTGTGTATGTGTGTGTGTGTGTGTGTGTTTGTGTGTGTGTGGCTTATTATATTTAAGGATTATTATTATTCTTTATTATTATTATGTATGATTATTATTAATTATTATTATTATTATTAATTATTATTATTATTATTATTATTATTATTAATTAAAATTATTATTATTATTAATTATTATTATTATTATTATTACTATTATAATAATAACTTAATCTCTAAGAAGAAAATCCATGACATTGATGATCGCTGCGTGATTATGCGAGCGTTTATAGTAAAAAGTTGATTATTTTGAAAAATATTTTTTTAATTATAAAAGATCCGTATCATTAAAAGAGTCGGATGAAACCTTAAAAAGGAGCATTACTGCCATATTTGGGCTGGAGCTCTTCCGTCCTTTCCTGCCATGGTAGAAAGAGTTCGAAGTCATTGAGATGACCTTTTGGGTGATGATTCGTTTTCCACCTGCAGCCCCTTCCCCACAGACGCAACGTCACAAGCCTCTCGCTACTCGATCGCTATTTCCATGGCAAATATCCAGGCGACTTACATTCTTTTGTCTCACCAGTTCAGGCCCTCATCGTTAGAAACGGTTATGTCCTGTACACAGAATTGGATCCTCTTAATTCCCTTCGTATTCCACTTGTAAGGAGAAAGTTTCACTCAAACTATTTCTTCCCAAGAATTCTTACGTTGTAGAACAGACACCGGAAGTGATGTCCCCACCCTCGCGACCGCTAGAATCTTAACCTTAGTTTCAAACGTTATCTACCCCATAAATACTCATAATATGCATTCTTCTGGCTTTTAAGCCCTTCCAACAAAATCTCATTCAGTAATCTTGAGTGGTTCTTGGGCCTTGTATTGGGTGAGCAATAGTTGATGATAGAGCGTCATTCGTGGCTGAAAGAATGGCGAATTTGGAGCTAATCAAGAGATTGGTGGTAAAGCACAGATAATAATTTATTCCCTCATGTCGAGTAGGGTATCTCACTCATACGTGTTCTACCTGACATGGGTACGAGAGAGAGAAAGAGAGAGAGAGAGAAAGAGAGAGAGAGAGAGAAAGAGAGAGATCCTCGACCCGATATGGGTACGAGAGACAGAGAGACATGCTCTACCCGCCATGGGTACAAGGGACAGAGAGAGAGAGAGAGAGAGAGAGAGAGAGAGAGATATCCTCGACCCGATATGGGTACAAGAGACAGGGAGACATGCTCTACCCGCCATGGGTACAAGGGACAGAGAGAGAGAGAGAGAGAGAGAGAGAGAGAGAGAGAGATCTCGACCTGATATGGGTACGAGAGATGAGAGACATGCTCTACCCGCCATGGGGTACAAGGACAGAGAGAGAGAGAGAGAGAGAGAGAGAGAGAGATCCTCGACCCGATATGGGTACAAGAGACATGCTCTACCCGCCATGGGTACAAGGGACAGAGAGAGAGAGAGAGAGAGAGAGAGAAATGCTCAACCCGACATGGGCACCAGAGAGAAAGAGAATCTACCTGACATGTGTCTGAGAGAGAAATAGGCTCTACCCGACATGGATACGAGAGGGAGTCATGCTCTACCCGACATCGGTACGTATGTGTGTGTGTGTGTGTGTGAGAGAGAGAGAGAGAGAGAGAGAGAGAGAGAGAGAGAGAGAGAGAGAGAGATTCTCTACCCGACATAGGTACGGGAGAGGCACATGCTGTACCCAACAATAGTACGAGAGAGAAACGTGCTCTACCCGACATGGGTATGAAAGAGAAACATGCTGAATCCGATATGGGTACGTGAGCGAGAGATACCCTACCCGCCCTTAGAGAAAAATACCCTACCCAACATGCAAACAAACGCAACAAACTCTTCCTCTTACAGTTTCTCTTCATTGACCCTTGTTAGTCAGTTCTTGGGAGTGGGGTCGGAGGAGAAGAATTGTTTTTTTTTTTTTTCGTTTGTTTTTTTTACTTGTTCGTCAGACAACTACACAAAACAATAGGGCACCTACCATAAAGCGATTGTTACAGAAGTCGTCAGATATCCTATTCCCTGCTCTGTTCGATTCTGTTGTGCCAGATTTGATTTAAATTGTAACTTTACCTGATTGACCTTGAATACTGTTAGGAAATTCTATTCTCAGAATGTCCTTATGATAATGTGTCCTTGTGCCAAGCGAAATTCTTAGTTTCTGAGTGAAAATAATAATTAAAAATGATTTAAAATTAATTTTTAAAAATAAAAGATTTTCTTTAAAATATTAAAAAATGAAAAATCTTTCTTTAAGCTTTTATTTTAGTTTTAATTTCAAGCTAATAGATTAAATTTAATATTTCAATAAGCAAAATACGTTTATTTCAAAAACTAATTTAAAATTAATTTAAATTGACTGGAAAAATATACTTTCTGAAACTTTATTTGAGGAATATTAGTCGATTTAAAGTATAATTAATCTGATTTGAAACAAATATTATTTAAGTTTAAAATATCGCAGAAATGCGTTTTTTTTAACCTGACCGTAGCTGTTTATTTAAGATGGTCGGGAGTTTGACAGCTAGTTGACAGATTGATATTAATCTAATGTTGTTCTTTGGGATCTTTAGGCATTAAAGAAATATTAACGTGAGAGCTTTTTATATATAAATTTTAAGTATTCAGTAATCTTCAAAATTTAAGAAAATATTCCTCGTAATCTAATTTTTTTTTAAAACAATAGTGTCCTTAATATATCTTATTTATAAAAACAATTAAAAGCTTTTTTGATTAAATAATGCCCTACTCTTATTGCACTTTTTATTTTAAGATTCATAGCAGATTTTCTGTAAATGAGTAACTGTTTGAAAAAAAAAAATTACATTTTCTAAGGCGTCCTGCTTTTAACTAATATAAAATGAAAAGGGACAAAATTTAATTTCTGAAAATTTCATTAAGTAAGGTGGCGAACATAAATAAAAAATTGTATTATGAATTTCTAAAATGATTTCATTCATTTATAAATAAGCTCTGAAAGTTTCATTAAAATCCGACTTTTATTTGACTTTTGCAAGAATTTCCAAATTAATGTGTTTTTTTTTACTGTAAAAAAACGCCTAAAATTTCCTATACTTGCTGCCTCCACCCCCACCGCTGAGGCAAGAAAAACAATATTTTTAACCAAAATTTCGAACGTGCTAGAAAAGATTAGAAAATTTTAATAAAATAAATGTTGGTCTTTCCTCTCAGTAATAACATAAACATTTTGACGATGAAACTTTGTTCTTATAAAGTTTGGGTGCTTTTTTTTCATTATGATAGGTTCTTTTTCAGCGAATTATTGAAGTACCTATATATATATATATATATATATATATATATATATATATATATATTTTATATTTGTGTTAATGATATATATATATATATATATATATATATATAAAAATTAATACAAATATAGAATTTGTCACTTAGCCGATTGATGCTATATTCAGCAGTCCGACTCCAGAGTTTCGTAGACGAATCTTTTTGGAATCGTTCGTCAGCAATTGTTTGCCGTTTTTCTTATTTTCGTTATTTTTATTTTAAGTTAAAGAAATAATTTATGCGCTCTTTTAGGGTGTGTGTTTGTGTTGGTGCTAGGCTGTATTTTTGTGTGTCAATGTGTGTACGTGTGTGTATGTGTATACGCCTGTACCTGTATGTATGTATAAAGCGGGTGTAACAAAAATACATTTACAAGCTTTGTGGACGGATTCCTCACACCGAAACAAGGACAAAAGTTCACATAAACATATGTCCGCAAATCATTTGTTTTTGAGTTATTAAGTTTAAAGAAAGTTTACGGTAGATGGCGCTGTGTTGTCATGTAGACTAGGTTACATTTGTCATTCGTGTACAATTGTGGCAAGTTTTTCAACGCTTGACGTGTGTAGTAGTGATTTAACTGAGAATGTTCCTTTTAACAATGGCAGGATATTCATATCGTGAGAAGGTAGATATAATTTTTACATACGGCCTAATGGTAATGCAAAGCTATATGAAACTGCGTTTCCAGACCGAAGGCAGCCGGGTCACCCAACCTTTGCTGTTATTTATCGTCGCGTTGCTGAGACATGATCCGTGGGAGCGCAAACTATGGATCGAGGAAGACCTAGATCCGCTCGTACGCCTGACCACGAAGAACACCTTCTACAGGCTGTCGGAGACGATCCCGGTATCAGCACATGTCAAGTGACCCTGGCATCGCACATCTCATAGTACCACATGGAGGGTACATCAAGAGCATCTCCTGTATCCGTATCATTTGTAACGTGTGCAGTGTCTTTCGCCCTCTGATCCCTCATCACGCAAGAACTTTTACCGATGATTCATTACACAAACTGCCGAACTTCACTCTTGTTTACGGGTGAGGTAACATTTGAAAGAGATGGAATAACAAATTTACACAACCAACATTTGTGGGCGAATTGGAATCCCCAGGGTAAAATACAGGCTAGACACCAGCTTCAGTTTACGATTAATGTATAGGCTGGAATTGTAGGTGACTGTCTGGTAGGCCCATGTGTTTTCCCGGCACGTCTCACTGGAGGTGTTTCACTTTCAGACCTGCTAGAGGATGTACATCTGCTAATACGAAGATGCCTGGGATTCATGTATGATGGGCTCCAGCACATTTTAGTCACATTGTTCGCGATGCACTGGCTAACATAGACCATGAAAAATGGATAGGTAGGGGAGAACCAGTTCCATGGACTACACGTTTCCCTATGGGGCCACCTAAAACAATTGATTTATGCAGTAGGCATTAATAATAAAGTGACGCTTATGGGGGTCTGCCAAACCATTCGACACCATATGGGAGTATTTGAAAGGGTCCGCCAGTCAATGATCTGACGGGTGCGTGCGTTTGTAGAGGAAAGCGGAGGACATTTTGAATATTGAGTTGCTATGTTGAGGTACAACGATGGCCTTTTCGACAGATGTTTATATGGATATTTTACCTTGTTTTGATGTCAGGAACCCGCCTGTAATGTGTGTAAATGTATTTTTGCTACACACCTTGTATATGAGAATGTTCAGATAGTATTTCAGGGATATCAATGATGAGTCAACTAATCCAAGGCAGAATCAAAGTGGAATAGTAAGAAACTGCATCTAGAATTATTTTATCATCTCTTTTATCCGACGATGTCATTTAAAATGCATTTCAGAGTTTACTCGGGGAAACCTTGCAAAGAAAGAAACTGGGTTCGTCATGAATTTTCGCTCGAGATGAAGATACATGTTTCACCAGCAAAAAATCTTTTAACCATGAATGCCAACCTCTCATCTTTGCATCGCAATGGTACAGGTGATGAAAAATAAGTTTTGCATGATATTTGAAAGGGTCTGCCAGTCAATGATTCGACGAGTGCATGTGTGTGTAGAATCAAGCGGAGGATATTTTGAACATTGAGTTGCTGTGTTGAGGTACAGCCATGGCCTTTTGTTTATATGGACATTTGACCTTGTTTTGGTGTCAGGAAACCGCCCCCAATGTTTGTCAAAAGTATCTTTACACAGACGGTATATATATATATATATATATATATATATATATATATATATATAGAGAGAGAGAGAGAGAGAGAGAATAATCTGATGAGAGGCAAACACAGATACATATGAACAGGATGAGATAGATAGATAGATAGATAGATAATGAATTGAATTTATTCGATATTGGTGACAATCGAAGAATAAGGACATTGAATTTAACGCTTAAATGTTAAATTCAAAGCCAATGATAGTAAGCGGAAAACATTTTGAACATTTGTCATGAGTTGCTGTATTGAGGTACAACGATGGCCTTTTGGACAAATGTTTATATGGACATTTTACCTTGTTTTGGTGGGAGGAAGCCACCCTCAAAGTTTGTAAAAGTATTTTTGGATTGCATCTTAAATTGTACATTAAATGGCGTCTAAAAATTTAAACTTAATAATTAAAAAAAGAAGGATTCGCAGATATATATTTATATTGACTTTTGTCCTTGTTTTGGTGGGAGTAACCTGACCCCAAAGTTGATAAAAGTATTTCTGATATACCCTGCATATGCCGAATTGCTATGTGGATAGTAGGGAATATTTGAAAAACACGGTTTTCTGTTACATTTCTTCAGCGAATTCCTACAAAAGTGAACCTTTCATGAAATGAATGATGATTACCAACTCTTCCAACTTTACTGGTACTATTATTTAGCTTATCCCTACAATTCATTGGATTCTGTCATAACTAACAATGCGTACAGCAGCAATACGCGGAGACAGCAGATTGCTTTTTCTCCCCTGTTTTTTCACTGGCCGCAAGAGTAAACCTTCCTTAACTTTTTAAGTTTCATACTTAAATCTCGGTAATGAAACATGTGAATCGAAAGCTTGGGACGACATAACATGAATTTAGGCCAATTTATCCACATACAACAACGATATTTGCGAAAGGAAATTTGTACGTTAGGAAAAAAAGATCATTAAATATAGTAGACACAAAATGACTATTGTTTTGAACAATACACATATATAGAAATGTGTGTGTGTGTGAAGACAGAGAGAGAGAGAGAGAGAGAGTGTGTGTGAGTGTGTGTAGAGTGAGAAAAAGACTGTGCGTGTGCGTGAGAGAGAGAGAGAGAGAGAGAGAGAGAGAGAGAATTTCCTTTGTATTAAAAAATAAAAAAATATCTAGTTTATAAAATATATCTCTGTCAGCCTGGAAATGTTTTATGAAATGTAAAAGAACAACAGAAGAAGTTTTCTAACCGACATCAGAATAAATTCAAGAAATCGTTTGCTGTAGGTTCAGTGCTGTTTTTAAATAATGATGTCAAATATATTTTTGTCGATGGAGAAAGAGAAAAAATATTTAAGAAATGTACGGATTTTTCTTTACTTGCAAATCGATTGAGGCTTTGATTCCAATTAATTCATTGAAATTCACTTTGTTTTTTATTAGCATCTGGTAATCCGTTTTAGCTGAGTGGTAGCCATGCTTAGTAAATTTTTAAGTTTGAACCGAAATTTATTGCTTAAAAGATAATGAAGGCTTTGAAATTTCAGTTGTTAATGATTAATGAAGATGTAAACATATGATATACACTTGAGTTATTTTTCGTAAATTACTTTAAAATATCTGAACCTGACTTTAGACTTAAAATAGTTTTAGTCTTGGGATTAATCCGAGTCTTGTCATACTTAAAAAAAAAAAAAATATCTCGATATAAATATTTCCAAGCTCAGGTTCAAAAGTGTGCAATTTTTGTTTAAGTGCCAGAGTCTGAGTTTTTAATAATCGACTAAGATTGAATAGTTTTAAAATTTGATCATCATGGATGTTGTTTTTTTTTTTCCTTTTTTAAATGGAAAATTCTTGTTTGAAAGATTTTTGGCAGAGCTGTACAATAGTCACTGCGACCAGAAATAATATCTTTTTTTTTTTCATATTTAAATAAAGCACCGCAGATCACGAATTTTAACAGAGTTCATTAAATTTTATAAAAGTTAATGAAGGATGGGAGGTTGTGTAAATCCATTGTAAATTACCACCCCCGCCTTACAGAAGACAAAGCAAATGTGCATGATTTCATAACCTTAAACGCTCTTTAGGCAACTTTAGTTACCAAAAAAAAAGCATTTGGGCTGCCATTGCAGTTGATGCCAATTGCCAAATAACCAAATATTTAAATTTATCGATTGTGTTGAAATATATGAAAAAAAAAGTTTATGAATTTCAATTTGTTTTACATTGTAAGAAATCGCGTGGTATGTGCATATTTTTTTAGTTTCCGTAGGGGGAACAATTTACAATAAATTTACATAGGAAACTGACCCAGCTCCCATTAACTTTTAAAATTTAAATATTTTATTTATATCTTTGATCTACAGCATTTTATCTCTAGAAATATGAAAAAAAAAATTGAAAAGATATATTGAAACAATTGAAAAATATTTTGAAAACATTGGAAAAAGATATTGAAAAAATTGAAAAATATATTGAAAAAATATGTTGTAAAATATATTAAAAATTGCAAAAATATATTGACAAAATGAGAAAATATATTGAAAAAATTGCAAAAATATATTGACAAATATAATAAAAAGATGAAAAATATATTGAAAAAATGAGAAAATATATTGAAAAAATTGCAAAAATATATTGACAAATATATTAAAAAATTGAAAACATATATTGAAAAAATGAAAAGAATATAATGAAAAAATTGTAAAAATATATTGAAAATATTTTTTTAAAAAAATTAGTATATTTGGTCGCAATTTTTATTGTACAGTTTCACTAACTTTTTTTTCATTTAAGCATTTTTTTAAATTTTTTTCATTCACCTTGATTGTCAGTAAAATTTGCTGGTCTCTCCTGAAACGCCAGTCTTTTGTCTTGTGCTATTTTACATTTGACACTTATCCCCCCCTCCCTTCCCGCCCCACCACGCAAATATTATTAGCCGTTTATTGGTATCTCTTAATTAGAGAAATAAACAGACAGGCGACTTGGCTTGACACTGTGGACACGTGAAGGTGTGGCTTTGAAAGCCTCTCTAACTATACGCATTTTCCTCCTGGCGCCAGTGGAACGCTTGTTATTGTCTCATCGACACATTTCAGACAATCGATCGTTCGAAAAGAACAGTCACCTGTGATCTTTTACCGGATAATTTCAAGTGTTTTATTAAGACCACAACGGTTAAGGAGATTCACTGTTTCATATCAACTGGAATGAAGCTGGACATTCACGGTTTGAAGTTTTTACCGACACTGATGAGGAAGTGACATTTGTAAGCTGACAAAAAAAGCTGTTATTTTCTCTCTCATACGGCCGCGACGTTGCGTTCCATTGTTTAGAACAAAAGTATAAATATTTTCAGTGAAAGGCAAACGGTCAGCCTCATGACACTTTGTGGCGACAGAAAATTGAATTTGATAACGCCAAATAGAGCAGCCATGGCCGACGTTTTTCAAGCGTATAGAAATGGGGATTTTTTTTTCTACTTTGGAAAAAAGATTTTTTAGAATTAAAAAAAATTTAAGTCTTGGTATAATATTAATTATCACTGCTGTCGTTGCGTGGGATTTATTTCTAATTTATTTATTTGAAAATAAAAATTATATTTCTTCTACAGATAAAAAATTCTTAGGAACGTTTCCTATTTCTAAAGCAAAATATGTTTACGTATGATCTTCCTTAGTGAAAATAGCTCATGGTTTAAAATGCTGACAACGTTAGTCTATCGGAAAGTTTACAAAATTCAAGAAACATTGTCCTTAATCATTGTTTATGTATGTGCTTAGCTTATGCATGAGAGAGTGTGCTTATGTATGAGAGGGTGTGCTTATGTATGAGAGGGTGTGCTTATTTATGAGAGAGGGTGCCTATGTATGAGAGAAGGTTATTATGTATGAGAGGGTGTGCCTATGTATAAGAGAGGGTGCTTATGTATAAGAGAGGGTGCTTATGTATGAGAGGGTGTGCTTATGTATGAGAGGGTGTGCTTATGTATGCGAGTGTATGCCTATGTATGAGAGAGGGTGATTATGTATAAGAGAGTGTGCTTATTTATGAGAGAGGGTGCTTATGTATGAGAGTGTGTGCTTACATATGAGAGAGTGTGTAAGTGAATAAGTGTGAACGAAACAAAATTTTAAGAGATGTTATTTTTCTTATGAAATTAAGCGAGCCATTCAGAAAAGCCAAACTGGCCGTAGTCTGCCCATGACTGGGTTAGGGTTTCGGCTTTAAGGGTACAGATACACTCACATTAAACACCAATTGAGTCACTATTTGGTCCCGAGAAGGAAATAAACAGTATCAAAGTAAAAGAAAGAAAGAAGAAAAAAATAAAGGAAAAAAATGAAGGAAGATAAAGGAGCAAAAAGAAGAGGCAAAGAGCCAAAAAGAAAATAAGTTGACATCGGGGGGGGAAAACTGTGTAAAGTATTGAAAGAAAAATGAATTAGATTTTAATGAGATAAAACTAAAAGTATGAAATTTAGACAATGAAAAAAGTGGCAATAAACATAAGAAACAAAAGAAGAAATGAAATTCATGCGTTTCAGGATAGATTAGTAAATTTGATTTTCTTATTAAATTTCCTAAAAGTTAGTGAGGCGGGTTGGGGGTCAATTTGTTATGTAAATTCATTGTAAATTGATCCCTCACAGAAAAACAAATCTGCTCATATTTACACTATTTACATCGTTCGGCCGAAACGTTTCGGCCGTTGTACGTTACGGCCTTTTTCAGGGGATAAACGTTGAAACTTCGAGCCGAAACCTTTATTTAGTCCACGGGGGTAGATTGTTCTAATTCCATGTGCCATGCCTTTTCTGCATATCTCAATTTCAGTAAATTCCATGGGATATGCAGAAAAAGGCATGGCACGTGAAACCAGAACAATCTACACCCGCGGACTAAATATGGGTTCGATTCGAAATTCCAACGTATACCATCTGAAGAAGGCCGGAGCGTACAACGGCCGAAACATCGTGAATATGGCAAAAAAGATGGGATCAACAGTTCGAATAATGTAAATAGTTACAATACCTCATCTCAGAAATATAGACAGATCCTGAAGAAGGCCGGAGCGTACAACGACCGAAACGTCGTGAATATTACAAGGATTAGGACAATAATCCGAACAATGTAAATAGCGTAAATAGTTACAATACCTCATCTTAGAAATATAGACAGATCCTGAAGAAGGC